TCCCCACCATATCCAACTTCTGAAAGCATTGTGGGCCTCTGGTTTCTCTGATCTTTTTCGGCGCAAAACAATGCAAACAAAAAGCCCAATTACTTCCGGCGGGGCGCGCCCCTGAATGAAAGCAGCACACACACACACTCTTAGATACATAGCTCAACCGAATAAGCATAAAATTTTGGAAGCTGGATCACGAACACATTGACGCTTTATGATACTGCATTAGACGACCTGGCAACTCGCCTGTGGAAATGGCCCTGCTCACAACGGAAATGTGAAAAGGTCAGCAACACAATATTGTTTAAAATCACTCAAGATCTGCAGGTACGTTGATTTGGCGCCCCAAATCGATATCACCAGCGCACATGCAGTGTCTTCGTTGGTGCAAGACTGGATGCGCTGCTTGCACCCCCTGCTGAACATCTTTAGAAACAGAATGTGACACACACAGTGCGCTGTGGTCGGCGCTCGGAGAAGAAGCGGCATTAGCGCTATAGTGCAGAAACATCACATTGGACAGTTTAAGCCATACTTAGGCTCACTAGGCGTCATTATATAGCCTTTTAGTGAAAAACAACGTATGGGACGGGACAGCTTTAAGCCTTAATTGCTTACGTTCACCGGGTCTTGGAACTCTTAGAGACAGAGTGCTCTAGTGGAAGCCGGCTGTCACTTGACAAAAAGGAGACCTGGTTACGCACTTAAAAAGCCTCTAGAGGAGAGTCAGACCTAGGTTAGAAGGAGAAACAAAAAGGCAGGAGAGCGCGAAAAGAAACGAGCCTCAAGAGCAACCTATAACAAGCCTGAAGAAACGCCTAACAAACGAAGAAAAACACAGGAGAGAAAAAGGGCGGGTGTGTGTGTGTGTGTGTGTGATGCACATTTGGTCATCAAACCGGGGCCGGCGCTCCCTTGACTGAAAAAACCTCAGTTACACCTAAAAAGTCTTTAGCAATGAACGAAAGCCTAGAAAGAGGAACCAAAGAAAAGAGAGAAAGCGGGTTAAAAAGGGAACCCATGCATGAATTGCTCAGAAGCGTGCAGTGAATTACCCGAATGAAAGAAACGATGAAACTGTCTGATTTTCTGTTTGTGAATCTCCATGGACTCGGCAGTATCATTTCAACATTCTCAAGCGAAAGCCATTGATCAGTTCATGGCTCACAGTGCAAACGTGGAAACGAAGAAACCTGAAGGCTGCAACTTTGATTTCAGCGCCCCGTAGGGATCACACAGCGCACCCAAGTGGGATGATGCGGCTGGTCACACTTGGATACATATAGCTCAACCGAATAAGCATAAAATTTCGGAAGCTGGATCACGAACACATTAACGCTTTACGATACTGCATTAGACGACCTGGCAACTCGCCTGTGGAAATGGCCCTACTCACAACGGAAAAGTGAAAAGGTCAGCGAAACAATATTGTTTAAAATCACTCAAGACTCAAGATCTGCAGGTGCGTCGATTTGGCGTCCCAAATCGATACCACCAGCGCACATCCAGCGTCTTCGCTGGATGCAAGACTGGATGCTGAACATCTACAAAGTTCTCTTAGAAACAGAGTGTGGCACACACACACACACACGCGCAAACTCAAATTTGCAGAAGCATCTGTCTCTATAGCGAACACACATACTATACCCAAATGTCTCCACCAGCGGCAAATTCCAGAACTATCAGAAATATGTCCGAAACATGCAACAACAAAATTTCATGGTTTTAACGTGCGTTTGCTGTACAAGTGAGGGTTTTTGCGATAGAAAAGGGCGCGTTTTCACAGGTGCCCGTTCGCGACCGAATCTGTGAAACGGCGCCGAACATAACTATGGCGATTGCGTGCGTGAGCAAAACGCATGGGACATGTCATTGATGCGCATGGCTCATGAGTGAGCAAGGTTAACCATGGTTCATGGTTCATGAGTGAGCAAGAATCGTGACTTGACCAAGCCATGCGTGTGCAGACGGAGCTCACTGGAACGCGCGGACCAACCTTGTACATGTCCTCAACGCGAGCTCAGCCGGTATGCGGACGTAAAGACTTGCAGTACCTCCCCGAGCCCTTAAGTCGCAAGGCTGACGTCCCCAAGGAAACGGCATCCAATCTGCGATCAACAAAACATCATATCCCTTGCCTTAAGACCACCAGGGGGCCACCCACCTCAAAATACCCACCTCAAAAATAATGAACAATTATTTTGAGGTGGTCACACCACCTCTGTTGTAAATACTCTTCGGGGTGTCAGACCCTCTCAAATAATTTGACTAGTTTCTTGTTTTCTTTAAAAGACCTCCAAACTTGGAAGATTTGGAAGATGCTGAGGGGGGGGTCCTGGGGAATTTGTTTCCAACAGCCAGAAAACATGAACATATAGAAGCAGTCATTGAAACGCGCACCACCAGCAAAATAGTTTTTCTCGCGAAAGGCAAGACATTGCCAGATGGTCTCTAACCCCCAACACGTCCTTTGGACGCAACGTCCCGAAAAGCCCCAAGGAGATCTTCAAGATCTCAGATTCACAGGAATCACATGGAATCACTTTGATTCCCCTATTGCACGGTCATAATTATTTCGCTAGGTGGTCACCTTTTATGTTGAAATTATTTTACACCACCTTGACCTTTTGTTTATAAATATTTTGCTTCTCCCACCCACCACCCACCTGACTGAAATAGTTAGGGGTCGTAATTATTCTGTGAAATCTATTTTGGAGGGTCACCCCCACCGCCAAATAATTCACCAAGGCATGCGGCACGAGGTATAAAATCTCCCACCTGGAGATCAGTTTTCAGATGGTTTCAGAATTGCAATCGCTCTATTCTTCGACCCCCTTGAAATTGTACACGTTTTCAGGGTTACATCCAACAGTGCCTGCAAATCGATTGCCGCTCACCCAGGTCTTATACCGATCATGCATATTGTAAACTTTCTTGCAGCCACTCTGTGTGTCGACCTAGAGATATCAAGCGCGATAGTGCATGAATGAGAGGAAACAAGGAACCTACATTGTTGGATGCAAGTTGGGCTCCCTGAAAAATGTACCCATTCAAGAGGTCGAATCAAGTGATTACAAGTTACAAGAGACTATACAAAATGCATGGTGACCTAGAGATGACAAGCACCATGCAGTGGATGAATCTCATTATGTGATGTCTAATTTTGAACTGTTTGCATCACCAGGTCACAGGTCCATGAAAGGCACGCCAACGATTCCTTTCAACAGTTTGGAGGCACTGCAAACATACCATAACATACCACTTCATGTCCTGTCCCAGATCATGTGGCACACCACCTCATCAAATGTTTCAAAGCCTCCCATGTCCCATGTTCCACGTTTTTGCTGTTTTCCTTAAGCAGTGTGGAGCACACTTAGGGGTTCCTACGGTAATAGAAAAGCTGTGCTTAGATCACTGTGCCGCGCGGGCTTGTGCAGCTGATTCGCTGCTATATACAGTGCATTCATGCCTCCCAAAAATCCTCGAAGTGCATTTCGACTGCACGTGGCTCGCCAAATCTGAATGTCTGCGGCGGGTGCTTCTAACGACTGCGCTCTCGTTGTGGTGCCGCGCGCATTTTCGCACATGGTGGTGACTTTTTTGTGGCAGGCACAAGGGAAACCTCGTTTTTTGGTTCTCCAAAGTCGACTTTTCGTGACAGGTAGTTTTCGTGGCAGGTGCAGCGCTTTGGACACGGTGGTGATCGTCGAGGAGCTCAGATTTCGTGACAGGTGCAGTGAATCGTGACTTTTGGACAGCTCGTTTGCAGATTTCGTGGCAGGCACAGCACTCTGTGACCTCGAGGTGCAGATTTCGTGGCAAACGCAGCACTTTGTGAACCTCGAAATGCAGATTACGTGAGCAGGTACAGCACTTTGTGAACCTCGAAGTGCAGATTTCCTGGCAGGCGCAGTACTTTGTGAACCTCGAAGTGCAGATTTCGGCGGAGGCGCAGCACTTCGTGCTCTGAAATGCATTTTTTTGGTGTTTCTTCTGCCCCCACTTCTCTAAACACACGTCATGATGCAGGATATGCATGTCCGCTCGCTCAAAGGAAAAAGGCCTTCCCCTCAGACTTTCGGCCCTCAGCACCTTCGATGCGGGTGGATTTCTTAGCCCTTCCCATGTTCAATTTCCTATTTGAGCGTCTGCCAAAACGTACTGTCAAGTAGACGACATGATTCAGCAAGGTTATCGCTTTTGAGGGGGGAAACCAATTATTGCTTTTACTGGTTTTAGCCCCAATGTCAACATAGCTGAACATATCAAACGCCGCTGGGATACAGTATGGTTATCGCTTTTGACGGGGGGCTCTCACCTTTGCAGGTTTTAGCCACATTCCCAAAATTCACCACAGCTCTTCACTGAATTAGTCATCGCACGTTTTGGCGGTGCCTCATCCTTTTTTCATCTCAATCTCTCTACACATTACTCTAGAAATCTCGACTTGTCTTTGCTGTCCTGTAGTAGTCTCTGTATACTTGTCCAGAAATCTGGGAATTATATGTTTCTGAAGTCTCTTCTGACATCTCCATACTCAATGCTTTTGCATGTTTTTTCATTATTATTGCTACAAAGTGCCCCCCAAAAAAATGTTCGATTTGCCAATGCAATTAGCACCCAAGTGTTTCTGGTCCTTGCCAGTCGCAAGTGTTACTTGTTACTTCCTGCGCTCTAGATCTTCCAGCATGCTGCACCAAGAAGAGTACCGCTTGCAACTGTCAAGTTGAGCCAAGCACTCTACTACCTATCTGCCACTCGTGCAAATCTTTTCTACCCGAGCAAAGCAGGGAGGGATCTGGAGGGAGGGCAAATCAGAACTGCTTGAGCTACACCAATCCCAGCGCAAACAAGCTGACACGTATCAAACTGTGCCTACAAACAAGGTCAGCAAACAAGAACCCTGGCCTGTGGAATTGTTCCTAAGTTGCTCTGGCTTAGCTGCTGACGTGCTCAAGCTCCACCATTACAATCTGGTCAGCCTCTTCTTGCTCGACATTCAAATCCTGCATTTAGATGAGAAACTTGAAACATCATTGAAGCACTGCCCCAATCCAACCAGCCCTGAACACCAGCAAATTAAATGACTACTAAACCATACAAAACTCCAAGGCGTGGCTCTGCCGGTGCTGTCTGAGTTTTATCGATGCTTTCCTGTCCCATATTTTTTGCCCTTGTTGTCTTCACTACACGCTGACAGCTAAATCATGCTAAAGGTAGCTGCCGTTTCGCCCCTGCAGTCGTGATCTGGTTCTTGTTCCGGTTCCATCTCTGGCTCTGCTAACACCTGAAGCGGCCAAGACGTTAACGGCTGAACGCAAGCGCACGGTAAGAACATCTTAAAGCGCAAAAATCAAAACACATGCAAAAACGAAAGTTCTACTGGTAATAAATACTATCAATTTACGACCGGAATCCAATGGACTCCTACAGGGACCGACCAGCGACATCCGGATATCTGGATTGTTTCGGGAATGAATTAGGTTGGTTGGAGGCCATCGCTATTTAACTCAATAGAATATGACTGTGTTATTTTTCATAGCCAACTTGTGATCCGAGTCTCGCCCCTCCCAGCCCTTCCACTACGGGTGTACTCAAGGGTGTGTATGTACGCCAAACGACTAATTGATGAACAAAACATCCACCACAGAGCTGAAAAACTTGAATAAGCCACGGCCTGAACTCCAAGTCTGACGTCTTTTAGATAAATGCCTAATTCAAACGCCAATCAAGATAGATGCAAGACATTTCTTGAATTTTAGGCACACATTTTGTCGAGAAGTGTCCGAAAATGTGCGAAATATCATTGGGAAGATTTACTGCAATCTGTGACAATAATCATCAGGATCAAAAAGCCATAATCAAAAGAAACAGGAGCAGTAATCAGTAAAAACAAAATATCCAAAAACTTAGTCCTGACCAGGTCCCCTGGTCCTTAGGCGCCCTGGTCCTCCTTCGGTCTCTTGACCTAGTCCCTTGGTCTCCTAGTCCGCTGGTCTTATGGTCCTTCAGTCTTGGTAGTTCCCTAGTAGAAAGATAGCTTCCCAGCGGGGTGCTAGCTCGCTGGTAGGCAATTCCCAGAAGGGGGATAGCGCTGTCTATACTTGGTTTGCATTGCGGGGGAGGCACCCCCTCCCGTACTCTTTATATAGTAGTTCCCACTACCGTCCACCACCCCTACCATTGCCAGTACCTCTATCACTCCGACCACCCCACTACAAGTCTTACCACGGCTACCGCAACTACTAATTTCTTTGCGTCGATGCTGCCACAAAGGTGGACGATAAGGCCCACCTTCGCCGAGCAGGACAGCCAGAACCCTTCGTTTAGTAGGAAGCGCTGTGCCCTACCCCTACTACGTCTACTACTTCTACTACCTACCACTACTACTGCTGCTACTACTTCTACTACTTTTGCTACCTACCACTACTACTGCTGCTACTCCTTCTACTACTTCTACTACTTCCACTACCACTACCACTACGACTACGACTACGACGACTACTACTACTACTACAACCACGACCACTACCACTACCACTACCACTACTACTACTACTACTACTACTACTACTACTACTACTACTACTACTACTACTCCTTTCCCCATTCTATTGTTCTTCGCTGTGAATATTTTGTTGATCCTCTTCTTTTTTCTGTTTGATCACTCTTAAATACATTTTTTGATCCCTCACCCATCAAATACTGGTGTGACCGGCGCTTCCACATTTATCGACTCACAAACATGACGGAACTTTGGGCATTCAAGCACTCAGTGAGCATGTGTGTCTTCTTGACAGCAGAACTCACACGATGTTGTTTGGGCACTATCCCAAGTGTCTTTGATGGCTGAAATTTCAGAGATTTCCATCGGTCAAGTTTTTTCCGGCGCCGTGCCGGAAGCCTACCTTCCTTTCCGGCGCCCTGCTGGAAGCCTACCTTCCTTTCCGGCGCCCTGCCGGAAGCCTACCTTCCTTTCCGCCGGAAGCCTACCTTCCTTTCCGGCGCCCTGCCGGAAGCCTACCTTCCTTTCCG